TGGATCCGAAGGAGTTGAACGAAAAACCCTATTCCTCCGCGCTCTCCCAACGCTCCCGGCGCTTACTTGGGTGACTTCGTTCATGAATCTCCTTCCATGCGTCTACAACTTCCTAGAGAGCGGTTGACGGGTTTTTCTATATGTCTCAGGCACTTCGAGGTTTTTGATTGATACTTGGAGTTGGGAGCGCGAAGGCTAACTCCCTCTGGGCCGACAAGCTTCGGAAGGGGTGTCCACAAATGGGAAAGCAATCAAGCTTTCTGGTGACCCTTCTTCGTCGGTCGTTGGCAAGGTCTCGAAGAGCCTATCTCCCTCCTGCCATCCTATCCTTCAATGCTTCGGATGATTGTCAATCTGTGCTCCTATCCAATGCCAATGGAGTTAGCTGTCTGTCTGATAAAGCTGAGTCTTTACTTCCCCCCCATTCCATATAACGCCCCGGCATTCTTTCGTGCTCGCCAGGGTGAAGGCTGGGAGTGTAATCTACACTGACTAGGTTGAGTGATTTACCCAACTTGACCTTCCCACTTAGATGATCCTGGCCGGTCATTAATAGGAGCCGTTCACTACTTGGCTAGGTCGGGTTATTTGATTCCTGTGTCTGGCCGGGTCGAGATGTTCAGTGAGGTGTTTAATACGTTATTAATACGTTAATAGGGGCCGTGGACACGAAAGATTGGTAGCAGCAATCGATCCCGATCCGGTTATTCCGGGACCAAGTTCCCCCCGGAGTATATCTAAGTGGGAAAGGAAACCGGATTTCATTTCATGAACTTCCACCAGCTCTATGAAAGGAATTTAGGTTTGAATCAAAAAGCAAAAAGACGGGCTTTCGTGAGGGTCTCGCGCAAGGCGCTCTACTTCTATTCTACTTCTATCTAGTGTAATCTATCATAATGCTTTTACAGCTCCTTCTCATTGCTCTTCACCAAGTCCACCAATTCTTTCTTCCTATGCCAGGGCCTTTCAACCAATCATCTCTTTCTCTCTCCTGGCTGCTAGCACCAACTGGCCCAACCCTACCTCTTATCTCTTCCGATGCTAGGGCATCTCCTTGTCCCAAACCCGCGCCCGTCGGCTGTTCCATCAAGGAGTACGAACGAGCGTAGCAATGACCTGGATCCAAGCTCTCGACCCCTTCCTTGAATCCGATCCGAGTGGCCCCCACCCTCTTACCCCTATTCGTTCGTTGCTACGCCTAGCCCCGGGAGGCAGTAGGCACAACTAATGCGTTCGTTCCCCATCCCTTCCCCTCGGCAGGACCAAGAGAGATGGCAAGCAAGCCAGTAGGAGACTTCATACATAAATAATAGACTTCTACATTCCCAGTATTCCCAGTAGACTTTGACAGGTTGTTAATACGTAATAGCCTTACAGATTTGACCCCTCTGTGCCTTTATCGCTCTCCTCAATAAGATTCCCGATCATCTGCGTTCCCACTTCCCTGTATTCATGAATTGATCGGGCTGCTCAAGCAGTTAAGTCAACTGAGGCGGGGAAAGAGCAAAGGTACGAAATGAGTGTAACGAAATAGGTACGAAGTAGCTATAGAACAGAGAACAGAGATTCGTTTCACTATGTTCGTTGAACATAGTTCAACTCATTTCGTTTCAAACGTTGAACTATGTTCAACAACGAACAACGAATAGTTCAACTCATTCGAAGAGGTACGAAGTGAAGTGAACAAGTATTGAACTCTAAATGACAAGGAGCACGGTGTACAGCATTCTAATTGGATTAATGAAACCGAACCATCGAGACTTGTAGCTTGATTCTTTACTCATTCCATACTGGGAAGAATTGCAGGAAATCGTTCGATAACACTTCTTCCTATTTCTTTCTCAATGATATCCGACGATCAAGACAATTCCCGTGAAACTCTTTCATTTCCTCATTTCCTATTGATTTGTCCCCTGGACTGGAACCTATCTTAATTATCCGTCGCTACGCTGTTCCCAAGGACTAGCAAAATCGAAATAGCGAAATTCTTGGGTCATCTCAATGGGTTCAGAAACCACACGTTTCTCTGGATCATCATAGCGTACTTCCACATATCCACTCAGGGGAAGGTCTTTTCGTNTAAAGTTCTAGTAGTAATAATAAATAAGAAAGATAAGAGGGAAACTGGCTCCGGACGAGTTGCTAGGTATAATTCAATGAACGCACTGTTCTCCGTAATTGGATGAGTCAGTGGCTGGATCCATTGCAGAACGTACAAATATAGGATTTAACCTGTCTGTGCAACCTCATGGCGTAGAAGTTTACGAGATCAAACACTCGTTAACTTCGGCGTCACGTGGAAGTTATACGATATGGCTGCAGGTTGGTCGATATCCATATGTTTTGGATCCGGCCACAAAGGTGGAATGGGTACGGGGAGGCTACTCTGGTACCGACTTCATTATGGCGCCAGTGGAATTATAAACCACTGGTTATAAAGAATAAAAGAATATAAGTATGATCGATCCAATCCCGAAAGAAAAGAAAGGTCCAATGTTCATAAGTCCCCTTTTATGGTATGGCTTTTGGAAAAGAGAAAGATTAACCTCTCCTCTCCCGTTGGTCGAATGAGTTTCACATAGTGAAACGAATTCTCTAGGGACTCCCTTTGGTCGTACCTCTCCCTTTGGTCGAATGAGTTTCACATAGTGAAACGAATCTCTCTAGCAACTTCGTACCTCCCACCTTTCGGCGAGATATTTGCCGTGAGCAATGCGACATTCCCAAGACCTAACGAGAGATCTCTCTCTCCCTCTATTTTTGGGCAGAGATTACTGCTTTTAGTTTCCATTGCCCTAAGCCTGTCGCTCGGCCCGGGCGCCCATGAGGTGTGGTTCGGGTTCACTTTATATCCTCCTCAGGCGAACATGAAAAAAAAAGGGGTTTAGTCAAGGGCCAAAATCCATGTTGTCTTTACACAGCTCTGAAATACCCCCCACCTAATATATAAAATCTATAAACAATATAGAAACAACCAACCAAAGAGTACCAGACAGATAACGTCTTGCAAATGCAAGTAGCATGTAAAACAATCAAAGATAAGATCGAAGAGAATGAAACGCACGTAGTGGTCATTATGAATGAATCTCCCAGAAAACGATTGACTATATATACTGGTGATAGGAAACAAGTCAAATTCATGACGAAGGCTTCGAACAAATTTGGGGCAAAGCCACATCGGGGCTATGGGAGTCGAACCCAATTCAATTCTTCCGCGACCCCTCCACGAATTTCTCTTTTCTACGAAAATTTCTGTTTCGCTGCTTTTCTCAACTAGACAGAGTGCGGTAAAATCAATCTC